TAAGCAGACAAAGTATCAGCTACATAGAGCCCCTCGACTGACTGGAACCCACTTAGTCATCATCAAATCCCCCAGAGAACACAATATCAATGATCAATTAAGGGAGGATTATAGGCACTGCTGACCAACCAAGAACTTGGAATGTGAGCTGAACATGCACCTCTTATCCCCAACTTCATAATAATTTTTACATCAACCTTTCATGAAGCCTGAAGAATAAGCAATACCTGCCCAGTTCCCTGCTCTGTTCTTTGCTGTAAATACCTCCTTTCTTCCACCATCTTGGTGTTAGTGATAGTTTTGCTGTGCATCAGGCCAGCAAACCCATTTTTAGGGGTTCTATACCAGTTCCTCTGACCATATTTGGAGGCATTATGTAACAGCCTAAGTGAAGGTATAGCACCTTTATTTCACAGGTGTTCTACTTTATAGAAGCCCAGGTTTCAGAAGTTTCTATACTTCTACAATGGATTGCTTTTAATGATTGATTTGTGAATGGGAAGTGAGAGAACCATCCCACAAAGAGAGAATGAAACCTACATGAAGCAGTGACTGATTCTCTAACTTACCACAGGGTCACTAAGCCCTGGACTTCCAAGGAGAGAATCAATAGGTATTTGCCTCATAAATGAATGAGTGATAAATATAAGGGTCTACCCATCTCCTTTATGAAAGAGAGTATGATTTAACCTCTTTAGCCAACCCAACTGCTGAGTATAGAATTTGTCAATTAGAGGGCTGTTTGAGCCTGCTGTGGGCTAAGCCACACCTCCCTTTCACTCTGAAAGGCTTCACAAAAGGTGGTGAACTCGGGATAATTAACAATTCTGTTGACACCTAATTGGTTTCAAGTGGTTTGCATATACCTAGAGAGGGTGAATAGGATACCCTTTTCCTTTCCTTTCAAAATACAGGTTTCACCCACTTAAGGAATTAACAGGACAAAAGTGAACATGAATGAAGATTAGAATGATAGCCTCCCTCCTTCCCCACACTCAACCCTGAGAGTTATGGCTGAAACTGTCAGCAGCAGCCAACAGACCTTGGCATCTGAAGCTCTGGATTGATTCATTTACAAACTGTGTGTGTGTGTGCGTGTGTGCTCACATGTGTATGCGTGTGCTGGTGACATGTCTGTGTTAATGCTGTATTCCAGATGAAAAAGCCATACTATTACAGAATGTATTTTTCTCTCAGTCTTGTAAGTATTGCCAGAGGCTAACAAGCAATAGACAAGCCAAAAACATCATAAAACATTTTAAATCTATAACCAAAAAAAAATCACATTGACATTTAAAGAAGGAAAATTCTCCTTTGGAAAAGAAACTCAGAGCTATTCTATGAAAGTAAAATAAAAGATATCATGTGAAATTTGTTCTTAGATTCCATCTTCACTTGATATTTGAAAAAGTGGAATGTGTATTTGAGAAGAATCTTAACTGTGAGCTAAAATATTTTCCAAATTTATACAACATTGATTTTATGTTAAGTGAGTTTTTATATCCACCTAAATTGAATGTTGGTTCTGGAGGGAGGCATTTTACCCACTGAGACTGATTATTTTACTCTTGCCTGTAGTTTGTTGGTTGTGTTGGACTTAGGACACATCATCCCAAAAGAGAACTGTAGAAAATTAGAATATGTCTACCTAAAATATACTCCTTTGGCATATTGATCATTTTGAACTGGTTATTTTACAAAACCACAGTCAGAGAAATATCGCTAAAATGCTGCTCTTTTGAAAGAGAAATTTTTATCTAGTGGAAATCTCCATTTTAAGAATGTTTCCTCTCCGCACCAGAAAGAAAAGGATAACTAAGCCACTAGAGATTTTTAATCAGTGAATTCTGCATTAGCTATTTAAACTCACATGACAAGTCTTACCTTTGCTTTATAGCACTCTCCCTGGTCATCTTGTCTTCCCCAGACCATTTCTATTGCTCTCCCACGATTTGTTCCAGCATATATAATCCCCTAGATTTACCAAACACCTATGGAAACCTCAATCGTCTGGCTCCTTGTCTTGAATCTCATATTTTTGTCGGACTCCCATGTGCATATATACAATTAAAACAATTTTTATTTTCCTCTCTTTTTTTAAGATTTATTTATATATTTGAAAGGCAGAGTTACAGAGAGAGGAGAGACCAAGTGAGGTCTTCCATCCATTGAATCACTTCTCAAATTGCTTCAATGGCCAGAGCTAGGCTGATCTGAAGCCAGGAGATGGCCCAAGTGTTTGTAGGAGACCATCTTCCTCTGCTTTCCAAGGTGCATTAGCAGGAAGCTGGACCAGAAATGCGGCAGCACCTGGGACTCAAAGTGGCACCCATGTGGAATGCCATCACTGAAAGCAGTGACTTTTCTTGCTTTGCCACAGCACTGGTCCCAATTTTTATTCTCTTAATCAGTCTTTTGTCAATTTTATTCTTGACCAACCAAAGGACCTAGGATGATAGAAGTAATTTTTCCTTTCCTACAGATGTGAAAGAAATTACTGCTAGACTCTCTGTAATCCAGTCCAGATTCATTATTAAGCAACTTTGAAATGAGGCCATTCAAAAAAAATTCCAGAACAGTGATCCCTCATTTTTAATGTGGGATAATAGTACTCACCTTTATTGTCTGAAATATTGTCATCTAATAGATATAAGGAGGTTGACATGATAATTGCTCAATACATGTTAGCCATTATTCTTAGTCACATAATAATCAAGATGCATGTTTATAATAATCAGAGGCATGTTTTGGGATGACATGTTCTAGTGAAAAATTAAGTTTAACATTACAGCCCTAAACTTTTTTCCCCCAAAGCTGAAATTAGGTGCTCCAGGTGCAGCTGTAAAAGATAAGGGACCGAAACTATGTGGCCGTTGCCTCACCCGCCTGGCTGTGCAGAGCCCCTCCCTACCCCTTTCCTGTATCTTGCCTCACCCGACCAGTTCCCTGTCCCTGAGTTCCTAGATAAGCCACAAACCTTCCCGTGATCTTGTGTGACCTTGTGTGAGACCCTGCAGTCTGGCACATACACCCCAACGGCCTGGACCCTATGCTTCGGCCAATCAATTCAAAGGGCATTAACCCCAAGAGCCATCCAACCACCTTAGTGGGTCCGTTCCCGCCACTGAATGTGCCAATCAAATCTAGGAGATGTCCTTTGAATTTCCCGCCGAATGAGATGATTTGCTGCGATGTAAAATGTCTCCAAAAATCCTATAAAAACCCTTGCCCTTCACTTCTCGGGGCTTCTCTGTTCTTGCATGTTCAGGGAGCCCCAGCATGCTGGTTCAATAAACCCCCTGCTGATTGCGTGAGAGAGTCTCTTGGAGTCGTTCCTCGGGCAGCGGACGCGTTTCGACCTTAACACTAGTAATCCTCATTATTCTCTCCTTATCTGTCCTTTCTCTAATACACATGCTCCTTTAGAATTAACCTAATCTGGAAAGAAACACACACATACACACACAGAGAGACATATTGAAAAAAGAGTTATCCATCCATTTGTAATTATACCCTGCAGGGCTTAGAAACTGGGGACTAACCTAAACTTGAGCTTATTTGAAAGATCAGCAAGAAACTTTCTTAAAACTTCCAGACAACTGGCCAAGCTCAGCTAGAGTAGGGACATTTGGTACATACCCTACTGTTCACTGGATGAACTGATGACAATGTGGACCATTGCTCCACACTGCTGCAAATGCCATGGCCACCATTTTTGAACACACCGTGTAGGAAGAGTCATGTAAGTGATTGGTGACTTACAGAAGAACAAAGTACAGCCCTTTCAGTCTATCAATTCCTGTTAATCATCAAGGAAGTTTCAGCATCATAGAGAACCAGAATTATTAGGTCCAATAGGTATGCATTATATCTTTTGCTATTAGAGTGGAAAGGTGAAAACCAACAGTTCTAGTGTGCCAATAATCTGATAATGACAACCCATTTAATCTGCAGAACAACTGCATGGGATTCCAATAACAGATATCATTTTGTGGTCATCTAGAAAATGCCTGGCACTGTGCTAAACTTGTAATACTCATAAAAAAACTATAAAAGGTGCCCTAACTCTTATTTCCATTTTATAGAGGAGGAACCTGAACTCCCAGAAGTACATAACCAGCTCGTGGTCATATCTCGGGTGGGAAAGTGGCAGAACCTGAATTTAAATTCAAGTTTGACAGATGCCAAAGTGTATACTATTTTGCCATGCTCTGCCTTTTTAGCTCCTAGCACCTAACCTCATACTATAATGTCTGACTTGCACTGGATAAATTTTAAATGTTTGTGGGAAAAGTTATTGTGAGAACAGTATGGTATGTAAAAGACAAGAGGTTTGGAGTCAGAGAACATTGGTTAGCATTCTTGCTTCAAGGCTTCCTATCTTCCTATTTAAAAGACACCAAGTGCTTTTACAAAACAAAAACAAAAACAAGACACTTCTGTTTTTAAAGATTTTAAAAATTTATTTGAAAGGGGAAAGAGAGGGGGGCCAAGGGGAGGGGGGAGAGAGAAATCTATTATTTGCTGATTTCCTCCCCATCTGGGTTTTCCATGTTGGTAGTAGGAATCCAATTACTTGGTCCATCAAGCATTGCCTCTCAGTTCCCTTAGCAGGAAGCTGAATACAAGCACACAATGGATAGCCAAGATTCAAACCAGCTCTCACATGCGATGCAGGCATCTCACATGGCAGCTTAATTAGCCATGCTACAAGACCACCCCTGAAGCACTGTTATTTCAGCAATTTGCTTTCTGCTTCTCTAGGATGGGTGTAGTACTAAATGTGTTATGTTGAGAGGATGGCAGTGTAAAGTGTTAAGCCCGGGCTTCTATCTTCTGTAATGGATGCCCAGTGCATTTACATCATGTTATGCCTGTTGGGCAATAATGGGATTCAGGACACGCTCCCCCCAAGTGTTATATTTTGGTATTTTAAATGAAGGACTTGGAGAAGCAGCATGCGTAAGAACCTCTCCTACCTTCCCTTGCTCTTTTCCCAGAAGGAGGTCAGAAGATCTAAGAAGACATTGCTGAGCTTTCCCCAACATAGGTCACAGGATGCTCAGGTGAGAGATGCTCTTCCAGTATCCAGGAGAAAGGATCATCTTTAAAGATACAAGGCACAGAGAGGAATCCGAACAAATAAGCCTGGCTAAGTTCACACCCCCTTGTCCCATCTTTCCTCCATCAAAACTGTGACAAGACACTCTTCAACTATTCAGTAGTTTTGTCTTTTTTGTTGGGTTTTTATTTCATGAGGACATCTTCCACGTTATATACAATTTATATTAAATAAATATTTTTGTTTTTCTCATGTTAACATGCCTTTTGTTATAGGAGCCCTGACCATGAACTATGGAGGGTAGGAGGAAAAGGATATTTTGTCACTCTTACAACATTAATGTCAAATACTCTAAATACATTTTATATATTACATATTGATGTGAGGAAGGCAATAAAAATGATCCAATTGTTCATAAGAAGTCTTTTAAACTTCCTATTTTAAGCAAGACCTTCTTGTTTATCTTTTGTCTTTTTATCTTATAAAATATTAAGTATTTTACTTCCCATTCTAAATAAGAGTTTTCTATTGTTTTTTTATTGTATGTGATACACTGTGTTTCATTTTCAAGTTTCATCATTCCATGCTTAAGTGTTCTTTCTCTTTGTTTAATCAATAATATTTTCTATTGATTTTGTCCTTTCTTCTCTAAGTTATAAGAAAAGAAGGGTGGTTCACAGTTACTTCTACATAAAACATAACCAAATACGTTAAGTATATTGTGGGGAGCAACCCGGACTGGACTGAGTTACTGGAATTAAGACTTATTCTATGCATCTGCTCTCCCACAATGTGGCGCTGGGAGAGGAGCAAACAGCTTCTACCCAGCTGCCTCTCACCAACTTGACAAGCTGCAAGAGCCGCTCCTGATTGGAGGAGAGCAGCGTACTCGGCGTGTGGGTAGCAGAGTTGGGATTGGCGGAGGAGGACTATAAAGGAGGAGAGAGACGGCATGCACCAGGAACATCTAAGGGGAACATCTAAGGGAACACCTGTGCAGCCCCCGAGAGAGCCGGCCCGGCGGTGTGCCGCTCCCCCGCGGAAGTGGGGAATGTCCTTCCACGGAGGTGGAAGGGTCGGCAGCCAACCCGGGAAGAACCAGCAGCAAACCCGGGGAGGGCCGAGCAGACAAAAGAACAGCGCAGGGTCCTGTGTCGTTCCTCCACGAAGACGGGGAGCGACAGTATATAAATGTATTTTAATTGTTTTTTCTTTAAATCTTTATTTATTTGAAAGGGAGAGAGAGAAGCAGAGAGAGAGATAGGTGGAGATCTTTCATTTACTGGTTCATTTCCCCAAATGGTTGTATTAGCCAGATCTGGGTGAGGCTGAAGATGGAGCCATCCAGGTCTCCCACATGGGTGGCAGGGGCTGAAGTACTTGACCATCTTCCACTGTCTTCCCAGGTATGTTAGCAGGAAGCTAGACTGGAAGTGGTGTAACTCTGACCCAAACTAGCACTGTAATTTGGGATGCTGACATCGCAAGTGGCAGCTTAACCTGCTGTACCACAATGCTGGCCCCAATAATGAATTATTTTTTAAGAAAGAGGATGTCAGCTTTCATAAAAATAGTGTGAAGGAAATATATTTATCCTACCTATATATTTAGAAATTAGAAGTAGAATTTGCAGAGGCTGAGTACTGACCCTGAAAATATTTCCTAGGACTAAATTGCCCATTTTGTAATAAATGTGTTTAGTAATCACTATATTTACTTGGCTTATTCTTATTTATGATATTTAAATTACTAATAGCTTGCAAATTCCTAGAGGATATTATACAATCATAGTATTTCCTTACCTCATTTAAACTAATAACTCTCTTTATTGATTTAGCCAGCTAAGAGTGATTGTTTCAGGCCTTAGCTATTTATTGGCATAAGTGTTTATCTCCTGTTGAGATTCTTTAAAAGTAAAACATTTTATTGAGGCACCCAGATGCAAGGCACAATACCAGAGGAGGTGTGTATTTTAAGTTAATTCTGATAGAAATTTTTTTGACAAGCATCTTCTCATTCATTCCCATAACATATAGATCAGCTTCTCTTTATCCCTCTGACAATAGCAGCAAATGTTCTAAGCAACTACGATTCATTTCTTACTGTTTTCTGCTTCTCATTAGTGAACAGTTCACAGTATATCACAGTACATGGAATATTTTGTACTCAATGGCTCTTGTAACCAAGCCCTCTGAGAATTTTTTGACATTCAAAATGATGTTCTGCTACAACACTGAAATCTTTTTTCTTTATGTCTAATTCCCGGTGTATAAATCCCACAGTAAAAAATGAGACTTCCATCATGTTAAGGCTCCCTTCCTGACAGATAGTTTGTAGAAATTTTAAAACAAGCTTTGAGAATATAATGTACAGTGTCTTTTACATATTGTCTTTCAGAAAAGAAGCTTAGGTGAAAATAATTTTAGTTCTGATACCATGTTTGATATTTTAAAAATCATTTGCTATAATTAAATTTTCTTTTCCAATGCTTAGTGCAAACTTCAGTTATTTGTACTTTTACTGATTCACATGTGAAAGGTAATATGATGGCATTTAGGAAAAAAATCCCTCTTCTATTCATAACATTATTTTCCTTATCTATGGAGACATCAAGAATCTCCATGGTGGCTTCATTAACATAGCTTTTGAAATCCCTCAGCACCTGTTTCCATATTTGATCTTAATTAATGAGAAAATTGTCCTGAAATTCCTGGGAAGCTTTATCAGATTTCATTAGACCCTGGTTAAGTAAATCCTCCGGTATTCCAGTACCTTTTGCATTCAGACTACTTATACCCCAGTCCTCAGGCTAAATACATTTCTTGCTTCTGAGCTGGAATTTTCCAGAAAGAGTGGCACAAAAGGGAGCCAGATACTTGCCAATAACAAGCTGAAGGCAGAATAGGTGGAAAGTTTCTAGGAGTAAAAGTCATTTAAATTTAATGAAAATCAAATTCATTTACTTTTGTTCTGTTGCTTTTTAGTCTTATTGCTATTGTTGTGAAATTTAAACTTGTAAAACTACTGCAGTAGGGGAATTTGCAAATTCAGCAATGGCTGATGTAAGTTTTTAAAAGTAGTTAATTTTTTTAACTCAACTTGATTTTTCAATGACTTGGGACTACATAAGATGTATAATTTTCCTTAATATCTCTTCTCATCTTGCTTTTCTACTACTTTCTTTTTCCATAGTGGGTGATATGGGCTTATTAGCATACATCAGTAAGATATTTTGGAGCTATTAAAAGGATGAGGCTGGGACCAGTGTTGTAGCATAGTGGGTAAGGCAGCAGTTCCAGTCTTGGCAGCTCTACTGTGGATCCATGTCTTTGCTTATGGCCTAGGGAAGCAGCAAAGGGTGCCCCAAGTGCTTGGGCCCCTGCATGCACAGGGAGATCTGGAAGAAGCTCCTGGCTCTGGGCTTCTGATGGGCCTAGCTCCAGCTGTTGCGGCCACTTGGGGAGTGAACCAGTGGATGGAGCATCTCTCTCTATGTCTCTCAATCTGTCTTTGTCTGTAAATCTCTCTTTCAAATAAATAGGGGGAGAGGGAGAGAGGAAGGAAGGAAGAGTGAGAGAGAGATAGGGAGAGGGAGAGGGAGAGAAGGAGAGAGGGAGAGAGGGAGGGAGGGAGTGGGAGAGGGGGAGAGGGAGAGAGGGAGGGAGAGACGGAGAGAGGGAGAGAGGGAGAGAAGAAGGAAGAGAGGGAGAGAGGGAGGGAGGGAGTGAGAGAGGGGGAAAAGGAGACAGATGAGATTTGTTCCATCGGCTGACTCATTCCCCAATGCCCACAGCAGCCAGAGCTGGACTGGGTTGAAATAAGGACCCAGGAACTCATCTGGGTGTCCCATGAGGCTGTCAAAGGCTCAGATCTTCCACTGCTTCCCAGATGCATTAGCAGGCAGATGCATCAGAAGCAGAGCAGCCAGGCCTCAAACTGATGCTCATCAGGGCTACAGGTTTCCCAAGTGGAGGATTTACCTGCTGCACCACAATGTTCACACTTCTTCATATATTTTAAATTCAAAAAACCCAAAATTCCAATGTACTTATTACATTTACATAAGTATATATATATATATACATATAATTTCAATCCATAGAAAAATCTTCCATCTGCACCCAGAACAGCCATCCACCATGGAAGCTCTGTAACTGGTGTGAGTCATCCCTTCCTGGTTTCCCTGCACCTCCTTGCATAACGTCAGGAACCAGGCGATCAGTTTCCATTTACTCAGCCTTGAGAGAGAGATCATCATCTCTACAACGTGACGTTGATTGGAGGAGTCAATTACACAATGCATACAAAATAATTCATGCTATGCCTGGCATATTGCAGATTTTAATAATAGATTTTCTCCTCTGTTTAATTGCAGTGCATAACTCTACCATTTTTCTGTTAAAAATATGTGAAGGAAAGATTTTTCTTTTTGCCATCTAGTAATTTCATTCTTTTCCTATATGAACGAAAACATTGAGCTGCTTTAGAGATGTTCAGTCCTTTTAAATAAGAGAGTATTTCAGTGGGGTTTGGAGAGCCGGTACATTAACTTCCGGAGATATCGTCAGTTATTTACAGTTGAAAAACAGCACCATAAATAGCAACTGTCATTCAGAATTAGACTAAAATTATGCTTCTTGCATTGTCAATTCAGACATGTGCTATAGTAGCAGAGCTTGTGTTATTTTTGCATCTTCTAAAAAAAGATTTTTCCAAGAGTTGTGTTTCAACCATATTTTAAAATAATATTCTCATTTCTTATGAAACTGGATGTTGCATTCCTACAGAGATGATAACATGGAGAAAACTGCAAGTCAAATATAATTCTGGGAAGTTTGTAATATCAGTGCCAATAATAATGTATTTTGATTTAACTTCAGATCAAATATCAGATGAGAAATCTGGGACTGCATTTTTATCTGTAATATATCAAGGTGGCTAATCATCATTACTATTAAACTGAAGGAAGATGAGTCATGTGTGTGAAATGAACATGTGGACTCATTCCAATTCCTCTGAGAAAGACCCTGTAATTGGCATCAATTAGTCTTCTTGTTGGCAGTTTTAGTAAACCATCTGAAATTTAATAAACAAAGACTGCAATGCATTCTCCATGAAAGACCGTCATCTTGGACATTGATGCAAGCTGATTAGCAAATTGGCAGTTGGTATTCACCCTCCCTCTTCAAATATTGACTTAATGCTTTTTCCCTTCTTTATCAGTGCAAGACTTCATTTTCACTTCAACAAATGGATTAAGGTCTCCCAAGTAAATAGCTGTGTGATGATTTTATCTTGTCCCCTTTGCATATACTCTGATATTAGTGCAAAGCTACATAGGAATGGAAAACCCCTGGTACCACTCATTGCACTAAAGCTATATATATTAAATAAAGCTATGATCTTAAAAATTTGATGGAGCTTCTCAAACACTTAATTTTGTCATGAGGAATAGAGCTACTCATTGGGAGATTCAGAACACATTTTTCATATTTAACTCACAATTTTAAAATAGGAGACTTCAAATGATTACTTAATGCAGCTGTGAGGTAAAATGAAGTGCCGACCCTCAGAGAAATTAGATCAAGAAAACACAGAAAGTTATTATTTTTTAAAATTATTTTTCTTTGTTTAATCTTATTACCACTAAGTCTATGTTTTTGGATTTAACTAATATTCTTAAATCTAACATTAAGGATAAATACTTATACATTTTGTCAGTTTAAAAGAATAGTAATAATGTGGATTAGAATGTGTGCTAAAAATATTAAGTAAAGTAAATGAAACAGCTTGCCTGTCATGTTTTGTCTTTAAATAATGTTAAACTGATAATTTAATTTTTTCCTTTGACCATTAAAG